TTGAGAAAAAGCCCCTGCACAGTCCGTATGACTTTGGGGATATATAGAGAAGAGAGGGAAGCAAAAGTAACAATGTAGCTGAACACCGATCCCTGCCCGTGGAGCTGAAGGGTTTAGTCCCTGCCCATAGGCAGGTGGTGGCAAATTGTGGCTGTGTTGAGATTAAGCCCCCTTACGGACTCCAAATGGTCCTGGATCCAGCAGAGACAGTGACGGGGCTAAGGTCAAGCCCTAGCCCGCCTCCACTGTGGTAGGCCAAAAGCCCCCAGCCCCTCAAAACCTTGTGGGTCTGTGCCTACTTATCTTTATGATGCTCCCCCTGCATTCCAGCAGTGTTGATTTTCACTGTAAGCTACTCTATTGGGCTGAATTCTTCAGAGTCCCCCTGGTATGTGTTATTCTGTCGCCATCTTCCTGGAAGTCAGTACCATTGGTTCTTGATCATATGTTCTTTCTTGAAATAATTGAATGTCAACCTGTTCTTGGTACTGTGACTGTATTCTTTCCATCTTTTGGTGCATACTGCATCATTCAGTATTATGATGATCTAGAACAGTGGTTCTCAACCTTCCTAATGCCAGGGCCCTTTAATATAGTTCCTCATGTTGTGGTGAGACCCCCTAACCATAAAATTATTTTTGTTGCTACTTCATAAATGTAATTTTGCTACTCTTGTGAATTGGGCGACCCTGTGAAAGGGTCATTCAAAGGACCCATGACCCACAGGTTGAGAATGCTGATCTAGAACCTTTTCATATACAACTTCAGGCTTGGAGTTTGACTTCAGTACTTTCAGCTTTATATATGCTGAGCATGCCCTTTCTTTTTGCTTTTCTAGGTCTTTGTACCTTTCCTTAAAATAAAAAAATAATATTTTACTTTGTCTTCTCAAACTGCCCTTTGAAATTTTCTGTTCAACTCTTTTCAGCATTTCTTCTATTTACTTTAACTACTCTATGTTCAAGAACAAGCTGTAGAGTCTCTTTTGATACCCACTTTGGCCTTGTTTTACCCCTGTCCTTTGGTGATTTTTGCTTTCTTCATGTATTGTATTCTTTGTCATTCCACAGCTTTTAGGTACTACGTCATTAGTGTTTAATGAGTCAAATCTACTTTTGAGATGTTCTCAAGATTCAGGTGAAATATACTCAAGGTTGTATTTTGGTTGTGGTGAATTGTTTTAGTTTTCTTCAACGTCAACTTGAACTTACAAATGAGCAATATATAGTCTGTTACACAGTAAGCCCTTGACCTCATTTTGGCTGATGATATTGAGCTTCTCCATTGTCTCTTCTCACAGAAGTTGCGATCTGATTTCTGTGTATTTTTTTGGGAGAAGTTCATATGCATAGTCATCTTTATATTGTTAAAAGTGTTTGCGAGAAAGAAAGAAGTCATATATTTATCTCGCAAAATTCAATCATGTGATCTCCAGTTTTATTTCTATCACCAAGGCCGTATTTTTCAACTACGGATCCTTTTTTGGTTTCCAACTTTTGAGTTCCATAGTTTAATCTATTCTTGAAATTCATATCAATGGAAACATAGTATTTCCTCATTTGTGTCTGGCATTTTTCTTGTTCCAAACATAATGTCTATTGACATTCATCCAGATGTGGGGGAAGGGGAATAGTTTGTGCTTTATTACTGGTCAATATGTAGTTTTTAAACTACCACAATTTAATTAGTCCTTCTGTTACTTTTACTTTCACAAAGATTAACTTTTGTGTTTTCCAATTCTTTCCCCCTCCCCACTCCCAATGGTGCATTCTACCAGTGTTCCTTTTCCCAGTCTAATAGTACATCTCAGACAAAGGGATATTTGAAGGGGTATTTTTTGATGGTGGAATCAAGTAAGTTCAGAAGACCATAGATTCTGAAAGCACGACTTGTTTTTTGCCTGTTTTATATCTGACCTTGGCTTCCTGCCAGGCCTTTTGTTTAAGCTCGGGGTCTTTGAAGACATCCTTGTTGATCAAAGTTTTGCCTGAGGAGATCTCCACAGAGTACCTCATGGGTATGAGGTGATTATAGTTATAAACCTTCACAAGAAGCTTTATCTTTGACCTCTTAGTAATTTTCTTCTTGCCCATGGCGTCTGTCACTGTGCAGGGATAACAGTAATTCCAGCCATCAGAGTATGGCTGTAGGGGTGGTCTGAGGTGCCATCATCATGTTCTTCACAGTGATGACTTTGCATCCAGATTAAGTCCAGCTAGGACCAGTACCACCTTCCTGGGTGTCATAAATGTAGCCATTTCGGCAATTCCCAGGCTGACAACAGAAAAGCCATTCTATTCTCAATGAACATATGAGTTATTTCCAGTTTAGAACCAGTATGTGTGTTCTTCAGTATGGAACATTTTAATGGAAATGTACTTTCATTTTTCTTGGGATCTATACCTAGTAGTAAAATTGCTGTGCCTTAGGATAAGCTTATAACCTATATTTAGTTTTAGTAGATATTCCCAAAAACAGTTTTGTAAACTAGTTGGACCAATTCTCACTATTAGCAACAATATATGAGAATAGCAATTACTCTTATCCTTGCCAACAGTTGATTTAGTCATTCTTTAGGGGTTTTTTGTGTGTGTGTGTGTGGTGATTTCATATTACAATTAAATTTTGCCTTTTCCATATGAGTACTGACACTAAGGATGTTTTCTTATATGTATTTGAATATCCTGTTTTGTGAAGCACCTGTTCAATTATTTTATCAATTTTTAAATTATGTTGTTTTAAAATTATTTATGTGTTGAATTACTTTATATAACTTAGATAAAAGTCCATTGTCAAACACATATATTCAATTTTCTTTTCCCTGTCTGGCATACCTATTCACTTAAAAATTTTTTTTCTTTGTGTGCTTTAGGTGAAAATTTACAGAGAAAATTAGTTTCTCATTTGATAGTTTGTATATAAAGTGCCCCATGACATCGGTTGTATTTTACACTCTCCCCTATTTCCACCATGTGTTTCCCATTTTCCTTTGTCCAAATGTTCTCTCTTCCTGCTTTCTCATCTTTGTTTTTGGGTACATGTTATTTAAGTGTATATTCTAATAAATGTGTTGTATAAGTGACTATTGTATAAGTGGTTATTCTAAGGAAAATGCTTCTCTTTGGTGTTATTGTTAATTTAATGGGCCTGTCCACTATTTGGCTGAAAGGTGGTCCCCAAGAATGACTTCAGTTCCAGGCCAGGAAGGTATCTTAGGGCTACAGTCTCTGTCAGATCAGTCTGGGGTTTTTTGCTGCATTTTTGTCTAGCTGTGTTTGTGATCCTCTGTTGTGGTCCAAGTTCTGCGCACTCAGTAGCGGTAGCTGGGCACGCACCATTTAGTTTCTTGAGTCTCAGAACCTATTCACTTTTTAAAGGAATCTTGATGGACTGAAGTTCTCTATTTTAAGTAATGCTGTGATGAATATTCTTATAAATGTTCATATGTATCTGTGGGTATGTGCTTACCAGTGAAATTATTGTGTTATTGGGTATGTGTAGGGTTATCATTCATAAATAGCATAGTTTCCCAAAATGGCTGTTTTCCCAAACATTTATTTATAAGAACATTCATTTAAAAATGGAAATCCATTCCAAACCAAACCTGCTGCCATCAGGTCAATTGTGACTTACGTGACAGAACTTTGCTACGTGTAAAAGCTGAAACATTAGAAATTTACACTATTCTTGTTAAAATACAAGCATACCTAATTTTCCTATGTTTTCTTTGTTTTACTTCACAGATATTGTGTTGTTCTTTCTTAAAATGTTTATTGACATCCAATTCACATATATAATTATATAGTTCAATCATATTAAAAAGAGTTCTGCAATCATCACCACAATCAATTTTAGGACATTTTCTTCTTTCTTGTTCTCATTTTTGTTAGCCTACCATTCCCCCTGCCCCACAATCCCCTACCATGTCCCTATGAAACTATTCATCAAATTACTGTCTCTATAGATTACCTATCCTGGATTTCAAATAGGACAAAAGGGAGATCAAATGACAAAGTGTTACATTTTAACTTAACAACTTCTGCAGTAAACCACCCTCCAATGCACCGTTTGATAGCAAGGCCAGTCACATCCATACTCCATAGTCAGAGGGGATTCATTGGAGGCTTAATCCACATGGGGACTCTGCAATGGGATTTTGAGCTTTCACTGTCATCCAGAGCCTTCTGAAAAACCAGGTGTTCAGAATTTAAGCTCTAATGCCAGTTTCTCCTCAAGAATTGAATTTTATTACTTGCAATCCTTGGATCACACAGGCTAGAGTGCTGCTTCTGTGTGGAATTAGCTGATACCTCACTTAGATGGCTACTTGTTTTAAGACAAGACTTTTAAGACCCCAAACACTATTTTTTCTGATATAGCATCAATATCTTCAGTGATCTCTGCCTGAAGGCCAGTATTGAGCAGGGCCATGTCATCAGAATGAATTGTACTTAGTTTAGGGCTACTATTCTGTTTTGTTTTGCTTTACAAATCAGAAGTTTATGACTGCCCTGTGTTGAGCAAGTCAATAGTATGTGCTTATTTTTTAATCTCTGTCATATTTTGGTAATTCTTACAGTATTTAAAAATTTTCATGATGTTATTGCACACCTAATATACCAAAATATAATGTAAGCATAACTTTTATATGCACTGGGAAATTCTTTAAAAATTGTGTGATTGACTCATTTTGTTGAAATATTTGATTTATTATGGTGGTCTGGAACTGAACCTGCAGAGATAATATCTCCAAGATATGCCTATACCTGGTCACTGTTATGTAATAAAATAAGCAAAAATCAGTTAATATTTAAAGGGTTTTGTAACAGTGGCATTTTCTAGAAATATTTAAACCTGTTGAACTCATTAAGCTATCTCAATTTCCTGTATGGCTTTTAATAAGACAACTCTGCTCAAATTAACTGGAATATAAACTGAGCTGATAGGGTTGAATTGAATCTATTTTACTTTATTGTTATTAATTTTAATGTCTTGTGTAGGTTTTGCTTGTGGATTGACCAAAGATGGTATTGAAGAAAAATTGCAAGGTTAGATGTATTTTAAAACAAAATTTTATTCTGTAAATTTTAGTGAATTACTTTGAAGGCAAAAATACTCTTTTATGAAGTAACTTTGTGTGTAGAATATAATATATAACTAGATGTACCAGTCAGAATCCTCCAGGGAGGCAGGATATATATATTCTGTGTTTATTTCAAGGAACTTGCTTATACATTTGTAAGCTGGTAAATTTGAAATTTGTAGAGTGGGCCTGCAACAGGTTGGAAATTCCTGGGCAGGAATTAATGCTGCAGTCTTGAGGCAGAATTTTTTCTTCCTGGGGGAAACCCGTTTTACTTTTAAGCCCTTTCAACTGGACTGCATGTGGCCTAACAGCATAAAAGAAGGTAATCTTATTTACTTAGTCAACGAATGTTAAAGGTTAATGAAAAACCAAACTCAAACCTATTGCTATGAAGTACATTTCATTTCCTAGAGTCTTTCCATATAGGGTTTCATGGTTGTAAATCTTTATGGTTGTGAATCTTTATAGAAGCAGACTGTCACATCTTTCTCCTATTGAACAGGCTGGTAGGTTTGAACTACTGGCCTTCTGGTTAGTAGCTGAGCCCTTTAACTACTATGCCACTACCACCCGTACAAAATACCTTCAAAACAACACCCAGATTAGTACATGATTGAATAAGTTGGTAGTATAGCCTAACTAAGGAGCCCTGGTGGTGCTGTGGGCTAGGCATTGGACTGCTAACTGCAAGGTTGTCAGTTCAAACCCACCAGCTGCTCTTCTGGAGAATGATGAAGTCTCCTCCTGTAATGATTTAGTCTAAGAAACCCTAGGGAACAGTTCTACTCTGTCCTACAGAGTCACTTAGAGTCAGAATAGACTTGATTGCAGTGCAGTTTGGTTTTAGCCTAACAAAGTTGACAAATAAAACTAACATCACAAGGAATTACTTTCTCTCACACTTAAACAAATTAAGTTATTAATTATTAATTCATATCAAAATATCTTCCTTTTCACAATATAACAACTTTTTAATTTTATTTTTACTTTTTAAATGACCTAAGTGTTTTAAAATATCATTTATAGATACACAACTCTGTATCAGCTTAATTTTAATTTAAAGTCCCAAACTAAGTTGATTATCTGTGCCAATGATGTAGTTCTACTAAACCCCAGCATTATTTTTCAGTTGATTTCTCAGTATTTCATTACTTATCTTTTATGATAGAAAAACTGTTAAGAATTTACTAGAATTAAAAATTGCTACCTCTTAATTTTGTTGGGACTTGTTCAGTAAAAGAAAAAGCATTATTATATCCACTAAAAAGTATTTCAACTTTAATTTATTCTTTTTTTTTAAAACTTATTCTTTACTTGGATGTACATGTGAGTATCTGGCAAAAATGCAAGCATAAGGATGAAGCAGTAAAAATATGCTTTTGAAACATGGAATAAATTGTGTATATTCATAGCAATGCGGTTTAGGTACCCCACTGCTGTGAAGCTGGTGCTAACTCCTACGGTATAGTAGTACTGTCCCATAGGGTTTTAGAGACAGTAAATCTTGACAGGAATTGACTGCTTCATTTATCTCTTATGGAGCAGTTGGTGGGTTTTAAACCCTTAACCTGTTATATCACCAACAATCCTTGGTTGAGGGTACAGAAACAGTTATATTACCTTTTATTTTTAATCAGATTTCTAATGAAGTTTTTAAAGTAAAATAATATATTTTTATTATAAAGCATCAAAGATATACCAGAAATCAGAAAGTTCTATATATATATATATATAATATTCTGATATCTGTAATGTTTTTCTTTTATTTAATTAGCAGAATTTCAGTTCATGCTTCTCTTATCTTTAGTCATTGTAGGTGTAAGTTAGGGTTAGCTGTGAAGGAGAATAGCTAAATTTATTATGTTATAGAATATAAGGTTTCAGTAGTCTAAAATCAATAATTTCTCTATATAATTTTGACTGTAAACACAATGCAGTTTTTTTTAAGACCCTAACTACCTGGAATTAGGACAGATGCCACATGTTAAAGGCACAGTCCTACAGACTGCTACGTTCAGACTTTGAACACCAGTCACAAACTCAAAGTTTCCCAGGTCACTTATACTTCTGACAAATTGGTTATATATTTAAGGTTCACACTACCCCTCAGGAACCAGTTGGAAGCTCATGATTTCCACAGTTCCAACCAACTGGCTACAAATTCAAGGTTTTCTACTAACTCCCAGGTTACTAGTATGGCTTACAGAACTTACAGGGAAGTGCTATGGATCCTTTGTCATTTTGTTTATCAAGGATACAAATAAGAACCAGCATAAAGAAGTAGCAAAGAATAAATTCTCATACTTTGTTAAGATTGAAAGTAAAGGCATTTTAAAAGCAAAATGGTCCACTGTTCAAGCAGAGATCACCACCTATTGCTGCCAAATAGACTCCGACACATAATGACCCTATAGGGCAGAGTAGACCTGCTCCTCTGAGATCATCTTAAAAGAATTATTTGACTTTTTACATTAGAATAAAAGAATACAAAAGGAGATATGAATAAGAAATAGTGAAGTGATAACTTAGACCTAGGACGAGCAACTTATCCACTATATTCTTTAATTTCTTAACTGATATATAAAGATAGTATCAATACCCACCTTATTATGTATTGTCACTGGATGGTGTAAATGGTTAAGTGCTGAACTAGTAATTGAAAAAATGGTGTTTCAAACCCACCTAAAGGTGCCTCAGACGTAAGACCTGGTGATTTCCTTTGCAATGTTATAGCCTTGAAAACTCTGTGGAGTACATTTCTATTCTGCACACATAGGTTGTTAAGAGTTGGCAGTGACTTGATGGCAACTGACAACAAAAATAACAACAAACTTATTGTGTTATTTTGGCAGTTAAACAAAGTAAATAAATGTATAGCATGTATAATGCTAGTTATACATGTTATTTTACCATTTATTGAATGAAATGTTTATTAGAAAATATTTTAGCATATCAGCTAATTTTTACTTAAATTATTTTTTCTCATTACTTAAGTATTGACTATAGTTCTTCCTGGAATAATAACACAGTACTACAATGTTAGCATATCTAATAAGTTTACTTTACTCTGTTTTCTTATTTACTAAAATAAAGAATGTGTTTTCTATAATTGAACAGAGTTATGTTTGAAGAATCTAAATGATCTATCATCTCTAAATTTGATAAAGATGGATGAAGATGTTAATTTCTTCAAACCAACTGGTAATTTTTCCATTATATTAAAATTAATAATTACTTAAGAGTAGCTTAAAAGTTAGTTCTGTAAAAAAATTGGATGATGGGAAAGCTAAATTGTCATCTCAGCTCTCAATAGAATATCATCATGATTTTCTATAAGATGTGATAAATTTATACAAAAGTCCTATGTATAAAATTATAAATCTACTCACTAACAAGCAGAAACTTTCAGATTTTCCTCACTGATTCTGATGGGTTTTTAGCAGAAAATTGAAATGCTCACATCTCTGGTTGCTCCAGATCTGTTATAATATTTGTAGATATTCCTTTACTAGTTTTGACTTTTCAAATGCTGACTTGCTCAATGGTTACTTAGGATTCTTTTCTCTAGAAAAGGGCTAGAAAACAGTGTGTCTTCTTGATTTTTTTATATGCCTTTTGTTCTTGATGCCACTTGAGGCACAGAATAGATGTTAAATAAATGTTTGTTAAACTGAGGAGAAAGCAAGTGTTTTCAACTGATGGAAATATTTATTTTTCCATTTTTTCCCACAGAGATAGGAAGATTGATGGCTTTGTATTATATTACATATGAGACAGTGAAGAAATGTTGTACAATCAGTGGAACAGAAACTTTATCAGATCTGGTAAGTTAATTTGCACTAGAAAAAAAAAATATAATACAGTATAATAAAATAATATTAGAGAAAAAATCAATTTGCGTATCTCATGCAACTTAAGAATAATCAGAAAAGAAAGCATTTCGAGTAATGGCTACATCTCTTTCATTGATACCTCTGATCATGAGATATGAAATATTTCTCCTTAGAATACATTGTATTTTGCATTCCTATAAATACAATATATTTTAAGACAATTTTTGTACACACCTAAAGTAGGGATTGGCAAGTAACTAACTTACATGAAAAGTCTGATTACCTTGGTAATGGCTGCTAAGTGTAACATGTTAAGAAAGATTACAAGACCAGGTAGCATGATTTATTAGGTGAATCTACCATGAGTGAGGGACAGTGAGTTGTATTGTGCTGTATAGTTGCAACCCCTCTCTAAACCTTTTGCATCAGAACAGCAATAACAGTAGGAATAGAATAATATTGGTGATGACCCAGAAAAATAGGTAATTGTAGAGAAAATGGGAATAATAACAGGTTGTATTAAGATATTAGTTTTGCAGCTTTGGGAGTGAATAGAACCCTAGTTATACCGTTTATACCTGGTGATTACATTTCTCTTTTTTTCCTGTTGTTGGGAATATGCATATGAAATAAGGTATTTGTAAAAGAAAGTAATTCTTTTTCTCAAATATAATTTTATTTAAAATATATGTTAATTACTGTGAGTTAATAACTATAAGTTAATTACTATAACTGAAAATGTTATATACTGTTGCACTGATTCTGACTAATAGCCACCATACATGAGGGTTAAAACTGCCCCATAGGGTTTCCTAGGCTGTAATCTCTACAGAAGCAGATCCCAAGTTTATTTCTCCCACTAAGTAGCTAATAGATTCCAACCAACTTTTTAGTTAGCTTACCTGTTAGAGCACTTTACATTAAAAACAGCACAACAGAATTCCAGTTATTAAGAAGTCAAATGAACAAAAATGTTTAAAAAAATGTATATTTTTGTGCAAATATTATTCTTAAATAAGAAAATACTCAATGACAACATTAACTCATTAGCTTTTCACAGCAGGTGTGTGAAGGTTAGAGCAAAGCACAAGCAATGCTTTGTCCAAAGTCATCTGGAAGAACTAGGCTGTAGAATTAAAATTTCTTAATATCTGAATTATTTATTCTATAGAAAATTAACTTTAATGCTTTACATAGGTGGGTAATTAGTAGTAATAGTGCTACAAATAAGAATGCTTACTAAGTGGTAAGCATTGTGCTGAATATTTGAAATTTTACCTAGTTAATCTTTATTATTGCCATATTTCCAGTGTTTAGCACATTGTCTAGCATATAAAAGGAGTTTATCAACATTTGTTAGTGAAGGTATGAATCGATGTATAAAACATATTTTTAACTTTGTGCTAATGATAAAGCTATGGTCTCCCAAGGCAGTTAGAAAAATAGCGCGCGCACACACACACACACACACACACACACACTGAGGACGAGGAGAGAGGAAAGAAGTACATGGATTTAATTAATTAGAGAAATGTTGAAATTTTGTAGGTCATAATGATAGCCAGCTGCAAGGAATTTTCAGATGTCCAGTTAAGGATAAATGAAAAGAAAACATTGAATACTTTGAACAAAGATCCAAATCGGGTAACTATCAGGTAAAAAAAAAAAAGAAATATATCTTAAATTTTTAAAGCTTTATTTAGTTAACTAATAGTAAAATTTTTGGTCTTTGTTTGTATTTACAGATTTCCAATGGAAGGAAAAATTAAAACTAGAGAAATGAAAATAAATTGGTAAATATAATTATTAAATGTCTTTAAATACTATAGATCCATAATTCATATTTGTTTTATGACATTTAAAATTATTTTAAAATTGTTTTCCTTAATACCAAAATAACACATTTATGTAAGGATAAGCAGTCAGATGTATATGTGGAATGAATTTCCAAAAACTGTCAAACTTCAGTTAAATTTGGTGCCTTGTAAATAATTTTTTTGTTGTTGTCAATAAGCATTGAGAACGTATTCTGTTGAGGCAAGGTGGAGGATAAAAAGAAGACAAGTTCTCACTATTGTATACAACTCATCAGACAGATCCCTAACTTAGACATTGAATTTAGTGTTCTATTTCTGACCAAAAACCAAACTCACGGACATCATTATATATGCTGACTCATAGTGATCCTGTGTATAGTACAGGGTATAACTGCCCCTATGAGTTTCTAAGACTGTAACTCTTTACAGGAGTAGAAAGCCCTATCTTTCTCCCTCAGAGTGGCTGGGACTTTTGAACTACTGACCTTGTGGGTTGCAGCCCAACTCGTAACCATTATAAAAACTGTATGCATACAGCTTAAAAACATACATACAAATGGATCGTACTCATAACCCAAGAACCATTTATAGTCTAAGGCAAGTATGGTGGCTTCACAGTGTCATTGCATCAGTACTTGAATTCCTCTTTGTGTTCTGCAAGCCCAGCACATGACTCTATTTTCAATGATGTCCAAGATGCTGAAGTTTCAGCTCCCACATAAAACTTTCATTCATTGGCCAGGACTAGTCACATGGCTATTCCTAAACACAAAAGAACTGAAAAACTTGTTGGTGACAAAGTGTCTATATAAAAATTGGTATTCCGTAATGAAGAAAGAAAGAGAGATTGGATGCTGATGTAGGCAAAACAGTCTCTGCCATACATATTAAACTTTAGGCCTTTTTTCCTATAATTTCATTTCTTCTAATATGTTTAAATAATTTTATTTTTAGCTGTAGATCTTTCTTTTTTATGTTGATAACTTTAATTTGCTTTATAATTTTTTTCACCTTTTTCCCCAAAACTATTTTATTAGAAGCTAATACAGGTATCATATCATTCCATAGTTTAATCACATCAAGCAGTATTATACAATTGCTACCACAGTCAGTTTCAAAATATTCTCTTCCTTCTTGAATTCCTTGATATCAGCTCCTCTTTACCCTCCTTCCTCCACTGATCCCCCTAGAAACCCTTATTCTATTTGCTGTCTATGGATTCATCAATCCTGGGTTTCATATACCGAAAGAACAGAAAAACCTATGAGGGGGTACGCCCCCCAAAATAATTTTTTTTTACTCAATGTATTTAAATTGTTTTCCAAAACAACCTATCACTTTCAAAGTACTCTCCATTACACTTAATACATTTGTCAAATTTGCAATTCCAT